TGCCTGGCAGCCCCATAATTAACCCAAGGGAAATGGTGGGAAGGTGCGGCCTCCAGACTTAAACCCAAGGACAACCAGGTGGGACGTCAGCCCAGTGACACGCCCGCCTCCCCATCTACAAAGGGCCGAACAGTCTAGGAGTTGGGGGTCTCAGTGGGCTCCCTTCTCGCCCTCCCAGCGTCTGTGAAAACCTGCTCGTTGGTGCTCTGGGGAGAGCTGGGCATCTGTAATGGGGTGGGAGGGGGCAAGAGTGGGAACCCCCACCCAGTCCCCACTCCTCCAGGGGGAGGGAAAGCTTTTGCCCACTGATTTTGGGGTGGGGACGGTGGGAGGTGCAGGACGAGTGCCTGCACCCTGCAATCAGACAAACGGGGGTTCCCCTTGAAACCCACAGGGCGGGAGGGGCCGGGCCCCTCTGTGCTGCCTGGCTCTGCCTGCCTCGCTGGGTGGGTGGGCTTCACCTTGGACCAGTCAGCCAGTCATGAGGGAAATGAGCATTTCTCTGATGTCCTGAAGGGTGGCCCGTCCCTTTTGCCTGAGACCCTCCTTTGGCCACAACCGAGCCGGTGCCTAGATGCACAGGAAGAGAAGTCACCTGGCCACAAGCTGGTCAGTTGTCTGTTTTTTAAACAAACGTTAAGAGGGTGGGCAGTGGGTGCCCTGTGTCATGGGGGCTGGGAGGCCTCCATTCGCCAGGTTTCATCCTGTCCATCTGGATGGCTCACAGCAAACACTCAAGTCCATACCTGGTCAGCTGGCCCAGAAATTTGACAAGGGTCCATCACTCCTCCGTCCTCTGTTCGCACTCAGCGACGCCCGACCTCCCCACGGCATCTGATGCCCTGAGGACCCCGCATTCTCCAATATCCGCCTCAGTTCCCAAGGCTCTTCTTGCCCCCCATGGATGGGCTCCTACCTTCCTAGTCCCCAGGACAGCACCCTGGTCTCCCACAGCCGCTCTGCTCCGATCACTAACTATGATGAATGATAAACCAGTGTGTAGCGTGCACCTACGAGGTGCGGGTCCGGGGACACAGCCTGCAGGGTGGAGCGCCACGCCCAATGGGGAGACGTGCACACGGGCCGTGAGGGGCACGGCGGAGGGGCTGCCGGGATGGACACTGGAGCCACGACAGGAAGTAGGGGAGGGTGAGCTCTGGAGACGAGGACAGGGTGGCAGAGCACTCAGCACAGGTGAGGCCCCAGGGAGCGGTGTTCGGTTGCTGTGCTGAACACATCGTGTCCCCCCAGATTCATGACCACCCAGGGCCTCGTCCGGAAAAAGCATCTCATCACCGCAGTTAGTCAAGTTGAAATGAGGTCGTCCTGGGTTCGGGTGGGTCCCGTCATGACTGGTGTCCTGGGAAGGGCAGAGGCAGACAGCGAGGAGGCGGCAAGGGCTGGAGAGCTGCAGCGACCAGCCAAGGAGCGCCCAGAACTGCCAGCAGCCCCAGGACAGAGCCCCCCCTGGGGAGGGGCAGGGGAGGGAGCGCGGCCCGGCCGGTGCGCGGCTTGGACTTCAGACTCCTGAGCTGAGACAGAATGAGTTTCTGTCTGAAGCACCCAGTCTGTGGTGCTTCGCTCTGGCAGCCCCGGGACACCTGGTCCTGGGCCACTGGGGCACCTGCGGGCACCTCCTCTCCCACGGGAAACGGAATGATGACAGAGCCATGTGAAGCACATCGCCTCTACAGAACGTGAAAGCTTCACGAGGAGAAACGAGGACACTCAGCAAGGCGCCCTGTGGCACAGGCCGGGCAGGGCCCACCTGGGCCAGGGACCAGGGTGCTGTCCAGGGGTTCTGGATTCACGGGAGACCCCTGCAACCAACGGGAAACACGTGAACCCTGGTTCCGTGTCAGATCAGCAGTCTTCTGAATGTGAGCGGGCGGGACCTCGGAGCCCTGGGGCCCTGACGAGGGTTACGTAACAGGGACACACAGGGTGCTTTCATCACGCAGCTGCTGTCTGAGAAAAGGCCGACTGGCACCCTCACGGGCTTGGGAAGCATGTAAAAGGCTCACAGCAGAGCTTTTGTGATACTGGCTCAGAGTGCCCAGCAGAGCCCAGCGCTCGGGGCAGAAAGCTCTTCCCGGGAAAGCAGCACACGGCTCGCGGACAGTCGGGGGGGGGGCTGCACTCACCCTGTTAAAGCGCTTGGCTTGGAAGAGGTGGCCGTTGGCGCGGTACAGCTTCCTCCATCTTCTGGCTCCGCGGCGGTAGATGGATTCTGGACAGAACACGAGAAAGGGGTAAAGAAACAGCAGGGTGGCCCGCGAGCCCAGCTCCCCGACGCAGGGTGCCACGGGGGACAGGATGCCCCAACCGAGTGGCCGGTGGAGCTGAAATGACAGTGTCCCCCGGGGACTGTCCCCTCTGCTTCCCCTCACCTGGCTCTCGAGTCACCACTGCGGCTGCTAGAGAAGGGGACCTGGGCAGGGAGGACGGAGGTGGGGGCAGCCCCGACGGCAGCCGGGACTGCCCGCAGGGACGCTGCCCGCCCGGGGTCAGGCTGTGAAGCCACTCGGGCCCTGTGCGCCCTCCCAGGTGTTTCCTTTTCCACCCTCTTTCCCTCCGGGCATGAAAACTCCCCCTTTCCACACAGGAACACGGCTCAGATGGGCTGAGAGCTCCCGCAACATTTACTTCGGCGGAGGGACCCTGGATGCCGTGTTCGTGGTCGGCCTGAAACGCAGCGCTCGGCCAGCACCACCCACCCCTGCCCCAGACACCGGAGGGAAGTAAAGCAAAACCAATGGACAGTTCGGTTCAATCGCAAGTTCCCCCAAAACGCTACTTTCCCACCGCACGTTCAGTGACTCAGACTTCACGGAAGAGGGCCGCCAATTACACACGCCGAGATCAGGCGTGTGACCCGCATCCTTCCCCCCAGTGGTTCTAGCTTTGCTCCTTCAAGACGCTTGGAAACCAAAGTACGTGAAAACAAAATATTCAGGATACAAGGGGAAGCTTTGTGCTTTGACAAAGTCCTGCAGTAAAGGCGACTTTCATGGGAGTCATGGAAGTGCCAGGAAAATACTAATGTGGAAACTCTAACGGAATGTTTTTAAAACAAGCAATTACCAGCCCCGCCTGGAACCTGCCCGAATCGGGTCACGGTGATTGCAAAGCGGCTTCTCTCCCTTTAAATGGGAGACTAAGTGAGAAACCAAGCAGCCCGGGGGGCCCCTGGGAGCAGCTGAGAAACCAAGCAGCCCCCCAGCTGCCCCAGCGTCGCCGGCGGCCCCTCAGATGCACCCAAGGCCAGGCTGGAGGCAGCTCCACCCTCCCCCGGAGGTCCCACAGTGGGACTCGGGCCAACTCCCACAGCCCACCTGACCCTCAGCTCTAAGGATGCCCTGCTGATGGCAGCATGCGGATGCCCACACCTGGTCCTCCTGGCCCATCTGGCTTGACTTGGGGGAAGTCTGGCCCATGGGAGGCCTCTGCTCATGTCCCCAGGACTGACCACCCCATGAGAGGCATTCACAACCCACAGAAGGAGAGGGAGGCACCAGGTTCTGGCTCTTCCTTGCGCTCAGTGCACGAGCCATGTGAAGGTCTAAAACTGCACCCCACTGTGTAGCCTTCAGATGCGATAAAACCCACTGGAAATAGGAAACTCAAAGATGGCCTAGCAGAGGCCAAGGGGTATCAGGGAGCCCACAGCAGGCTGGAGAGCTCACCAAGGGGACAGGACAGAGGACCCGCGTGATGGACAGTGGGTGAGGCCCCTGTATCCCTAGCGAGAAAAACCCAGACCCTCGCTGTCAATGACCAAGTATGTGTGTCCCCCAAGTTCACATGCCGTGGGGCTGCATGTGGCGGTGGGGCCCCTAAGCAGGCAACGAGGGTTGCTGGTCACAGGGTGGGGCCCCCATGCTGGAAGGACAGTCCTTCTAGACCCCAGAGCTCTCCCCACCACATGAGGACCCAGGGGGTGGAGGAAGGTCCTCACCAGGAACCTGCCTTCAAGCACCCGGGTCTGACTTCTAAACTCCAGACCCCTGAGAAACCAGTGCCTGTGCCTGAGCCCAGGTGAGGCCCTTGTGGCGAGGAGACCAGGACGCCTGCCCACCCACGCAAGCTGTGCCCTCGAAGACACGGGCTTAACCAGGAAAACGACAGATTCAGAAGGAAATACAGACGATCTTAACAATCCAAGGGGGAGAAAAATTCTGAAAACACAAAAGGCACTGGCCAACTGGAGGGAGGGGACACATCCGAGAACAGTCAGGTGAGGACGGTGTCCATCCAGGGGCCTCCCCAAGAGTGGAAGGCCACCGCTCGTCTGCGCTGCCAGCGCGCACGCAGGGGGCGGGGCGAGCCATTCGGGACGCGGGAGTAGCGGCACAAATCAACAAGGAAAAGCAGTAAGTACACAGCAAGAGACAGGAGAGCCCCCACCCCAAAGACCCTCGAGGACCAGCGCGCCCAGACGGGGCCTGTCCTCGGGGGGGGTCTGCTCGGCACACACACTTTCATGGAGAAAAGTGCCTGCTGCCCCGCGACCCGGCAGCCATGCTGCTCCCAGTCAGCGCCCAGGCCGTCGCACGTGCGCGGAGGGACGCTGAAGGATGCTGGCAGATGCCCAGGTCCATCGGCAAGAGGACAAATGGCAAGCTGCGCGTGTGGCCACCCAGGAAGGCTGGCCCAGTGTACACGCGACGTCAGCCACACTCAGCAGCACAGGCGCACCTTCCAGAACCAAATCCAATCACACAATCAGTGTCAGATGACACACTGACGCACGTGAAATGGGCCCTGCGACAGGATGCCCTTGTGAGACTGAAAAACACGCAAGCCCGACAGTGTGTTTGTTCAGGATACGCGGTCGTGCGATGAAACCGTTCCAGCCAGTGGAAGGCCACGGGCGGTGGGCACAGTGCGGGGGCAGGGGGACATTAAGTTCCGTCCCCGGGTCGGCCGGTAAGGGCGCTGTGGCCGCCCCGCTGTGGGCGTCACAGCACATGAGCTACATGTTCCCGGGCGCCTCTGGCGCTGCATTAAACCACGCGCACTCAGCACCTCAGAGACGCAGAGGGAGGGACCAGAGGTGTCCACAGCGATGTGGTTAAACTAACTTCAGATCCTTAGTCTTCAAAAGAGCCAGGGGACAGACAGGACAACAGGTGACAGGAGAGGGGCAGATGTGAAAGTGAAGGGAGAGGAAGCGGGGAGGTCAGTGGAGGGCAGACAGGAGGAGGCTGTGTCCTGCCAGGGCCCCCTCTGGACGACCCGCCCGGGGGAGGGGGGAGTGCGTTTCTAGCATGCAGAACGCTGTGCCACTTTAGGCAGAAGTGCGGCCTTGCTGTTGTCTCTAGCTGGAGACTGAGCGTGGTTTCGGGGGATGGGCTCGGCGAGGGGCGGGATGTGGTGGGTGGTCTCGTGTGTCAGCTGGGCTGGGCCGTGGAGCCAGCTTTGACGGACGTTATTCCCGATGTTTCTGCGCAGGTGTTTCTGCGTGGGGCCCCCGTTTGAATCTGGAGTCTGAGGGAGCCAGGCTGCCCTCCCTAGTGCAGTGAGCCTCGTCCGATCAGGTGAAGGCCAAGCAAGCCAGAGTTCTGCAGCGGACGGACATGGGACCTGAACCGCAGCGGCAGCTCTCCCGGCACCCAGCCTGCCGGCCGCCCTGCGGGTTCTGGACTCGCAGCCTCCCTAGCTGCGTGGGCCAGTCCCGTACGACAAGCCTCCTGTCTGTATACACATGCCCTGTTGGTTCTGCGCCTCTGGAGAGCCCAGACTTACACAGGGGCTCAGGTGGTACTTCCACCCACCACCCCTGGAAAGCAGCGCCCAGGTGACTCACAAGGAACCACCAGAGACCGCAGGGTCGCCCTCACTTGTAAAGAAATACACGCTTTCTGCTCTGAAGTAATTTCAAATGAACAGAAAGCTGCAAAGGTGGGCAAGAGAGCTCCCGTGTAACCTGCCTGCGTTTCCAGAGTGAGCGCCTGACTCCCTCCCACACGGTGGGAAGGAGAGAAGCACACGTGTCCTTGGAGAACGTGTGTGTGCAGCACTTCCGAGGGCGGGCACCCGTGGGGGA